CGTATATCGTTTAGGTGATCGTGTCCGTCGATTCACTTAGTATCTGTACTAGACTAGTACCGTATCGCCTGTGTCGCGATTTTTAAATGGCTTGGTTTACAACCACTGGCAAAAAAAAAGTAAAAAACTTCAACAGAACAAAAACAACACGAAGTTTGTATGGGCAACAAAAAGGATGATATCCTTTCAAGAGTCATGGAAAAATCGTTTACATGGCTAAATAATAATACTGACACAAATTTAATGAAATGTAGGGTATGCTGAACTCAGAAGATGATTCCGAAATGTCCAGGAAGGATTGAATAGAGTTGCAACAAAATACGTTGAGACTACTGTTGGGGCAAATTTGTTTGACATTCTGACTGTATATTGAGATAAAGATCATATGAAAAAATAAGGATAAAATAATATACTTTTTTATAGTACTATACCTATGCCAGTCACATTTAATTTGCACTGGATGATCCCATTGGACTACACACTGAAGTCAATGTCAGCGATATGGTTTGTCATTTTCACAGAAAGCAAGACATCAGAATTGATAACTTTTTGTGAACAAATGCATTTCATTCTGATTGTGTTATTTATTGGATTTAATTGAAAGAATAACACCCTTTTTCCTCCAAGTTTTTAAAAGAACTAGGGGCCTATATGTGTTTATATTTCACTTTATTCCCGATAAAATTGTTACTCAAACGGGTAACTGTTACCTAAATGCAGGATTTATAGCATTAAAAAAAAAGTTATACCCACTTGCGCCATAGTGCCCAACCACCTGCTCATAGTAAATGAAATTATAAGGATTAAAACGAATCGTAGCGATTGCAAACTGGCTGTATAAATAGTGTATACCAGGTAAAATTCAACACAAACCAATGTTGATACTCAACTTGATAGAGAACATAAAGTGATGTGCTGTTTATTTTACACTTAATCCTTTATTCGGCAATTTCAGCCTGATTAGTTCCGAAACGAAACACTATTTACTCTACAGTGCACGGGGTGGGGGGGG